CGCGCGTGGGGTCGCCGCCATCGCGCCACGCGTCTCCTTTAAGCCTCTTTACTGCCGGCAGACGAGGGCCGCGCCTTAAAGGGGCCGTCGGAGTCCCGCCGCAGCCGCGCCTTAAAGGGGAGGAGAGCGCCGGGCTGGAATCGGCATTGGGCCCGCCTTCCAGGCCCCGCCTCCGGACGCCTTAAAGGCACGGAGTTCAGTGTCTGTCTGACCTGCGACCCACTGCCTCCGCGGCACCCGCACTTGATGCCCCGTCCAACATGGTTTTATGAAATCCTCATCGAGGATGTTTTTTCCAATGATTTCTAGAGAGAGTGGAAGAAAGGGAGGAGGGGGAGAGAGAAACATCCACGTGAGAGAGACACCCCCTACCGGGGCTGGGGAGCCTGCCACGGAGGTGCATGCCTTGACCAGGAATCGAACCCGTGACCCTTCAGTCCGCAGGCCGGGGCTCTAAACACTGAGCAAACTTTCCAGGGCCCACCCAACTTTTATTCGTACAATCCCTGGGCGGTACCAGGCGGACCTGGGTAATTAGGACCGGAAGATCTGAGCCTCGGTGTCCCTGGATGCAACGCAGGTTTTATCATCCTGGGCCCCCGCCTCGCTGGGGTGCCCTCCAGGCTTATTGGGTGTTAAGCGCGTGGACCCTGGTGTCCCCAACCACCCTGCATGGGCTGCTGTGTGAGCCTGCCTGTGTCCACTGTAAACCAGGGTTCTGCTGACCCCGCAGGGCTGGCGTAAAGAGGAGCCACGTGATGCTTTCACGTGCTGAGCCCGTGCCCAGAGGCAGGATGGCTTTTCCATGAAAATGTTACCAGGAGACTGTTTTCCAATTCTGGGTGTATTTTCTAACTGATCGTGTTAGGGTCATTCTTAAAAATTAAATGTTACGAATGATGCTCCGGCCCTGGCTGGTTTGGCTATGTGGATAGAGCGTCTGCCTGCGGACTAAAGGGTCCCAGGTTCGATTCCGGTCAAGGGCACATGCTCGGGTTGGGGGCTCGATCCCCAGTAGGGGGGGTGCAGGATTTCCTCCCATCATTGATGTTTCTATCTCCTCCTTCCTATCTGACATCAATAAAAATATATTTTAAAAAAATAAAAGAGTAGACAATATTGAAAGAACATACTTTTTAAAAAAAGAATGATGCTCAGATGTATATTTATTAATGTGCATGGCAGAGGGTTAAGGTTGCTAGGTAAAATTCGGGGACGAGGTTGTGTGTCCTGGTTGGCATGCAAGATGGGAGCTTGGGGTCGGGGAGCCCCAAACCTCCCAGCATGTCTATGGAGTCAGGTGACACTCGCCCCTCCTTCTCTTCAGGCTCTTCCCCTGTCCATGCCTTTCCTCTAATTACATTTCTCTACTTTGCGCCTGTTTTCTGATTTTTTTTTTTCAGTAATTATCTGCACAGGTCAAGTTTGGGGCTGAATCTTTTAGAAACACAGCCCAGCCTTTTCTGGTTACGTGGTTTGACTCTGAGTGGAGGAGAGGAGTCCTGGCAGCAAAAGGTCTTTCACATTAAGCAAGAAGAACAGGGCGACACGTGCCTCCTGTTCTGACACCCCGAGAGAAGACCGGGAGGATTCAGACCCCGGGGCACACAGCGGTTTTCCCGAAGTGGGTGGGGTGACAAGGTCTTGTTGCTGAGATTTTCCCAGAATGACGTCGACATCCTGGGTAAAACGCAGCCAGCTGGCCGGGACAGGGCTGTGAAGCACAAATGCATCTCAGAAGATGATGGTGGAGGGGGACATCCGGAAACGAGAGGGAAATCTTATTCCTCTGGGGGAGGCTCAAATCTCCAGGACAGAATGGGCGGAAGCCATCGCTGTGGGCTGTGCAGGCCCCCCTGAAAGCCGAGAGGAGAAGAACACTGGGGAAGTCCCTCAGGAACCGGCTCCGGAAGCAGCTGGAAGGCTTGTGATGCGGGGAAGCTGCCAAGCTCAAGTGCACAGATGACTTTTCTGGCAACAGAGGGAAGTCTGTCTAAGTTCTCTCCGCTGAGAAACTTGTTACCGAGTTAAATTTGGGAACGGTGTAAGCAAACCCAAAAGGCCCACAGCAAGCTGAGAAAAAAAATCTGTAATCTAGATACAAAGTGTTAATACCATTAATATATACAGAGTTACCAGGGATGCATATGAAAAATATAAAATCTGGGGAGGGGCAGGGAGAGGTATGGAAAACCATGAACAGACAATTCAATGTTAACCCACAAACATATAAATGGCCAATAAACATTTTTAGATTCACTTCAGTCATCAGAGAAATTCAAAATTAAAAAATGAAATGTGTGTGCCCATCAAGTTGACTTTTTTTCTTTGATGAAAATTCCTAATATTTGGAAAGGATCTGGAGAACATGCACAAATTCCGCTGGTGGGAATGTGAGAAGGCGCGGCCCTTCAGAAGAGTGAGGCAGAGGTGAGCTGGTTATGAGAGCCTGGCTTGATTCGTTTGACACGGAATTCCCACTGGGAGACATTTCTCTGCTGACACGAAGATGGCTATGGGCAGATCAGCTCCGGAACGTCCTTGGAGGCAGCAGCGGGCAGAGCGGCTGGGCCTCAGTGTGGGAGCCTGGCTGCTTGGGGCAAGTCCCTCTCTGAGCCTCAGTTCCCTCATCTGTAAAATGGAACGTGTCACAAGGATGCCAAAAAATTGGACACATCAAATGCCTGGCACAAATGCTCAGTAAACAGGATATTCACAATAACAATTTAATTTATAAGCACCTAGAACAAAAGTGAGCCAAGGAGAGGAACAGGGCTCCACAGAAGAGCTAAAAACGGTTCTGAAACACATGAAAAGATGTTTATTTTCCTCTCCAAGAAGGTGTGTTCATTCAAATGAAGCCTAGACCCCATTTTCCACCCAGAAGGTAGGAGAAATTTCAAGTCAGCTGACAGCCTGTACAGCCTGTGGGGTAAGGGGCCACCTGCGCACAGGTGAGGGGCAGCAACCAGATGGGACCACACTGATGGGGAGAGCTCAGAAGACCACCACTGGAATGGCAAGCACCCCGATCTAAACCATGAGGTTTCACATCGAGGGGTTTACCCACAAACACCTGCACTTGCTGAAAAGTACATAGGAGGCCATCCCCTGTGGTGCTACCTGTTAGAGGGAACGACTAGAGGCAAGACCCATCATCACTTAGGTTCTGCTGAAGTAGATTAAGGAGCTCCCCTACAAACACTCATTGCCAATTGCAAATCACAAAGCATTCTGACACCCTGAAGTCTTGGTAAGAAGTCTTTGTTTAATCTCCTGTTCATCCCAATGTGTGTGCATATGCATCAGTTTATCTGCGGCGACTGGCTAAGGCAATGGTTCCCAACCTTCTGGCCCTTTAAATACAGTTCCTCATGTTGTGACCCAACCATAACATTATTTTCGTTGCTACTTCATAACTGTCATGTTGCTACTGTTATGAATTGTAATGTAAACATCTGATATGCAGGACTGTCTTAGGCGACCCCTGTGAAAGGGTCGTTTGACCACCAAAGGGGTCGTGACCCACAGGTTGAGAACTGCTGGGCTAAGGGCTATTGCCCTAGACCCATGTTAGTTGGCTATAGCTGCATAACAAATGGCCCCTAAAGTTAGCAGCTGAAAACAACACACATCTATTATCTCAGAGTTCCCATGGGTGAAGAACATGGATGCAGTTTAGCCGGGTGGGTTCCCAAAGCTCTCGTAACAGCAGTTCCCCAGGGAGCTGTGAGCCACTCTCGAATCCCTGCTCCCATCTTGCAGAGCCCTTGCTCAGGATGAGCCCAAGGCTCCCACCACGACAACCTTGCCTTTCAGTGTTGGGAACTAGCAGCTGCTGGGAGAGGCCCCGCCGAGTTTTGGCCAGATGATATGGGACACAAATTCATGGCAGAGCCTGGGCTAAGAGGGTCCCTCCGTGGCTCCAACACACTCCATGTCTTCCCACTGCTCTTGTTCCCCATGAGCCTGGCCAGACCAGCCACATCAGGAGACAGGTGGATGCTGTTCCATCCAGGAACCTACACTTTCAAGGATCCCATACACCCTGTAATGACCCCCCTCCCCGCCCCGCATCAATTCACTGGCCTGGCCCAAGAACCTGTGAGGTCCTCACCTGCTCCTGCCTGGTCCCATGGAACATCTGAGCAGCTGTCCAGAGTACAGGATACGTCGCTGGCACCAAGGGCCTTTTTCAGCTCTGAAACAACAGATAACTCCCTGGACCCACCTGGAGAAGCCCGGGCATCAAAGGGATTCCATCATTCCCCCAAAGAAGCAACAAAAGGGCAAAGGATGGAGGAAAGGGCTCAACCAAGAACTTTAAACAAATGGCTTATTTGAGCCTCTCTCCCTGCCTGTGCCCAAGGCAGACATTGCTAGCTGATCCCCGACATCTTCACTGTGCCAGATGGTACCAGCTCCAGCTCAAAACACTGCATTCCAAGCAGATGTCACAAATCCATTAAGGATCAAACCCCCTAAGGACATGGAAAACCTCTTGGAATTGAGGTGTTACCTGTTTTGGGACCCCTTCCCTTCGCAATCAGAGAATAGCCTTTTTTCATTTAAAGTGTCCCCTATTCAAGAACTCGGGGTTTTTTGTTCAGCTACCCACAGATGGAGCCCACATCCTCACCCTTACTTCCTGCTCCCAGAACTCTGCTGTCGCCTATCAAGCTGCTCTGCGTCTCTTCTTCCTCTTTATGTCCTTCAAATACAGGCTCTCAGGGACGCCTCCCCTTTCCCTGCACTCCATTCGCAGGTGGCGGGCTCTCCTGTGTACTCGGCGACACCCAGGCCAGCAATTCTGGCACCTCTGCTCCTGCCTCATCCTCATCACTGGGCTCCGTCCTCTTGGTAGCTGCCCCATCATTTGTTCCCAGGGCCGAGCCCTCAGCCTCCTCCCTCATTTTCAGCCTGGCCACTGTCATCCTCTGCTCACACCCCCTCCATGACTCCCAATTGCCTGTCATTCATCCCCTGCATGTCTGCCTCGGCAGCCTCCAGCCTCCTCTCCACCTGTTGTCTCTCCCTCCCTCTGTGAGGGCCGCATGGATGCCCTGAGTCGCCATTACATGCTGCTCAGCCCCAAGTTACTGCGCGCACCTCAGCAGCACAGACATTGGGTCCTGAGTGAATAGACCAGGCAGGAGGGAGAAGAGACAGTTCTGGAGCCTCTTCCCAGGGCGGGAGGTCCTGGGAGGCCGAGCCCACGTCCAAGAACTCTTGGAGGCTCAGTGCCAGCAGCAAAACACAGGCGGTGATTGTTAATGACTAAATGTGAATGTCTACCTGCGGTTTTTTAATTTTGCCTCCTCCCCCTCATCCTAGAAGTCTACACGCCCCTGAGAGCCTTGTTCCAATGCCCTCACCCAGGGAGCTGCTGTCACTGCCCGTCCAGGCTTGTCCACCTCTGTCCCGGGCTGGACCCGCAGTCACAAGGCTAGTTAGTGTTCACAGGAAGTGAGGCAACTGGGCTCAGGGGTCACCAGGCTCCCCCGAGCCACGGGGGCGGGGGGTGGTGGGGGAGGCTCACCTCCGTCGATCCTCTGCCGCAGGACCCCCCGGATGACATCCTCATAGATGCCCTCGATGGTCAGGGCGGGGCTGCCCACAGCAAGAACGTCCCCTTCCAACTCAAGTAGCTCCTGGAATGGAGGTGGGTAGGGGCTGGGCTGGAGGGGTGGGCACTTTGCAGGTGCCAGCTCCCGCTCTGACCCTGGTCTAGGTACCTGGGTGGCCTTGAACCTCATTTTCCTCGTCTTTAAAATGGACTCCATGACCTGTACTCCCTCGGGTTGCCGTGGGAGATAAAACAAGCACCTCCCACCTCAACAGGAATAGCACAGATATCTCTTCTAGGACCCCCCACAGCCACTTCCTGTAGGGGAGCCGGTTGGCACCTGAAACCAAGCCCTGCCTGGTGCCCGTAAGCCCTGTGTGTCCAGGCCCCTGTGACTTCTCCCCTCAGCTCTTTCCCACCGCCTCACTGTTCCCTAACACGCTAGCCCAGGCCTACCTCAGGGCTTTTGCACATGCTGTGCCCTCTGCCTGGAATGCCCTTCCCTGGGACATGGCTCATGCCTTCATCTTACTGCCCCTCCACTGTCATCTTCTCAGGGAGAGCCTCCATGCCCATACCTCCCCCCAAACTCTCCCTCTGTTCCTCCCTTCTCTGAAACCTGTCACCTGCTAGGTGTGATGCATGTGCCCTCACCCCAGCTCTCAAGTGACCGATATTAAGCACTTTCATGGGAGAAGCAGAGGGCATTTGTGGGAGCCCCGTGGAGCCCCAGAGCTCAGGGAACAAAAGTCTCTAAGTGTCCCAGTGGCTCTGTGCGGGAGCAAGCACTTCGTAGGGAGATACAGATGCTTGGTCACGCCCCTCCCCTGCCCGCATGTCCCCCACTTGCTCACCGCTTTGCAGCGCGGCTCCAGCTGGCTCAGCACGAAGGGCAAAAAGATGCAGAGCTGCCACCCGCGGACGAACCTCCTCCGCGCTGAGCCACTGTCCGACTGGAACTTCTGCACGACACACACAGTGGCCAGTCCAGTGGCCATCGGGGCTCCCAGGCCCACGTCCAGGCCCTCCCCGCAGGCCTCACCTTCAGCACGCGCCCCCTGACTTTCTCCAGCTGCTGGGCAGCCTGGTTGCAGTCCAGGGCCCTGGTCAGACACTGGTCGGCCAGCTGCAGGAAGGTGGCCACGGCGTCGGCCATGAGCTGTGGAGGGAGGAACTGGGATGACTCTCGGATAATCCACTCTCTGGCCTTACCAGCCTCAAGAAACAACACCTCCTGCCCGGCCGGTGTGGCTCAGTGGGTCAGCGTGGACCTATGAACCAGGAGGTCATGGCTCAACTCCCAATCAGGGCACGTGCCTGGGCGCCATCCCCAATAGGGGGCGTGCAAGAGGCATCCGGTCAATGATTCTCTCATCATCGATGTTTCTATCTCTCTCTCCCTCTCCCTTCCCCTCTCTCTAAAGTCAAGAAAAACATTTTTTAAAAAAATAGCACCTCCTCTCAGGAGCCAGGGATCACCCAGTCGGTGGGGGCCTGTGTGCCAACTGGGAGAAAGCAGCCTGCCCGCGGGAGAACGGTGCCGGGGTGCCCAGCCTGGGGAGCAGAGGGCGGGCTGGATTCCGCCTCATTGGCTGAGTGCTCCTGAGCAGTATGCAAACTGAACAACCGTGCGGGGCACCACTGGGCCTTCTCAATCCCTGTCTCCTTCACTTACCATGTCTTTTAGCAGGTCCGTTCCCTTGGCCTTCAAAACACACCTGCTTCTCCTCACCAATAGCACCCAACCAGTGGAGGCCTCTGCCCCCCACAGCCCATGCTCCCCAAGGCAGGTGTGGCTTCTGAACTTTAAATTTCGTCACGCCCCTCCCCTGCTGTGGCTCCCCATTGCCCTTGGGACAGAGCCCGGCCTCTTAACCCCATACAGAGGGCCCTGACCCATCTGCCCACCCTCCTCACTGGCACATCTCCCACCTTTCTGCCCTCCCTGGAAACCTACAACCCAATGTCTCTCAATTGTTCAATTTCCCCAAAGGCAGACAAGCTTTCTCGCTTCCCAGCGCTTACACAGGGGTCCCTCTATCCAGGACATGCCCCACCCCCATTCCTCCCGCTGCTGTCCCCCCCTTGGAAGTCCTCTCCTGGAAGTCCTCCCAACCCTTGAGACTGACCAAGCACATCCTTGGGGCTCACACAGCACCTCGTGCATCCACACCACAGCCCTGTCCATCCCGTGCTCACGGCCTGGTCATGGTTCATGTCTACATGACGCCGGGAGCCCAGCGAGGGAGGCCAGGTGACCACGATCTCCCCAGCACACAATTAACGCCAGCTCCGTGAAGGCAGCTGCCTTGGCCGCACCTGTTGTGCGAGATCCTGGGCCCCAAACACCAGACTTCGTGCTCCGAGGAAGCCAAACTGCACCACCAGCTGCTCCAGGCGGCCCCGGCCCCGCTCAGCCTCGCGGTAGCAAGCCTGCATCAGCTCCGGATCCCACGGCATCTCCCCGAAGGAGTAAACCTGCGCTCCAATGGCAGTCAGGTGAGAGAACACCATCAGCTGATGGAAAAGCAGGGCCAGGGCCTCACAGCCGATGCAGCGCAGGAAAAACACAAATGGGAACACATCTTACCTTGGCTATCACCACAAAAATGCACAATAAAAGCAACAGTAAGGTGTGGTGTGATGGGCATAAAACGGTAAGACCTGGAAAAATGATAATATGTGGTGCTGGCAGGACTGAGGGGAAGTGGGCACACTCAGTCCTTGTGGCACCTATGCCCACCATCTGGTGGCATCTTGGGGCTGAGCCCTAGGCCTGCATGAGTGGAGTCATCCAACACCTCTGGGAGCGCAGAGGAAAGTTTGGGGTGATAGACTGGAGACAATCAACCACGATGGTGTGTAACTGCCTTCATGATGAGGGAGGCACAGGCAGCTGCAGATGCAGAGAGGGGCCAGGGACAGTTCCGGATGGAGGTGATTAGGGAGTGGATGCGTAATGAGTGGAAGGTGCATAGTAGGTGCTCATTTAATATCAGAAGAACTGAGCTGACCTGCATGGAGCAGAATTCTCGGGGACAGGGAGGGCTCTGGCTAAACAGAGGAATGGCAGGAGGGAGAGTCTGTGGGGAAGGTGACTCCAAACTGACATTATTGAGTGCTATTCTCACCATCTTACCCCCTTCCCCACATTTTAAACAGTGTGCTGATAACCATAATAAATAAAATTTAAAAAGCCTAGAAAAAAAGTTGTTTCGAGGGTTTTAAAAAGAAAAGGTTGTCAAACAAGAAAGATGCAAGCTCTTCTATGAGGTTAACAGCCCTCACCCGCTAGAGCCCACCTCTTTCCGCAGCCGGGCGCCCGAGGGATTCCCACGCAGGTGGCGGCCCAGGCGGTCCATGCCCTGGGCTAGGAGGGTCTGCACGGCCGCCAGTGCGGCTTCCACCATGTCCAGCAGAGTCTGCGTGACCCGGGGCAGCTGTGCGTCCACCCTCCTGCGCAGGCAGCACTCCAGGGCGCCCTGGACTTCGGCTGAGGGCGGAAGGCACTGGCCTGGGTCTCTCTTGCCACGTGCTCCGCAAGCGGGGTCCTGGGAGGCCCGAGGCTCCGCAGGGTGAGGTGGGCGGAACGCAGACTGAGCACCCGCTCCGCCCCATTTTCCTGAGAACCGAGGCTTCGCTTCGAGCGCGGTGGGGTCGGCTGAGAAGCGATGCCGGGAAGGCCGAGTCCGGATGCCAGTCCGGCTCACGTTGTACCTGAGCCGAGTGGCCGAGGCTCCGCAGGGTGAGGTGGGCGGAACACAGACTGAGCACCGCTCCGCCCCATTTTCCTGAGAAACGAGGCTTCGCTTCGAGCGCGGTGGGGTCGGCTGAGAAGCGATGCCGGGAAGGCCGAGTCCGGATGCCAGTCCGGCTCACGTTGTACCTGAGCCGAGTGGGCGCCCCTCTGCCATCTGACTGAGCAACCCGGCTCAGACGTGCCACCGCCAGGGCCTCCGGTCCTCTCCACAACTAGACGCACCCGCTCCATCCCTGGCCGGACCCCTTTTCCCGGCCCGCCCTCCTCCTGACCCCGCCCCGGTCCAGGCACAGCCGCAGGG